AGATGTTCCTTCCTTCGTGTTCCTCTCTTGAGAAGAGGAGTGCTAAAAATTGGGTATGTATACATGGAAAATTAGATATCAATTTACAAATCAAGCTTTAAGGGAAACTAAAATTATACAAAAATAGTTTGAAAATACGTTTAATTTTAATTTTAAAATGTTCTCTAATTAAGTGCGTTCATAAAGTTGTATGAGTTGAGCATATAATATATAATAAAATAATTATATAATGTACGAGACTTTATGAATAATTCAGAAGGATCAAATAAACATATATTGTTTATTTAAACAGTTATATAAATTATCAATAAAAAATTATAATCTTTTTTTATGCAATAGTTATAATAACATTATACTTTATATCTTTTTTTAATATTATAGAAAATTTGAGAAAGGAGAAAAGACTAAAAATCTTTGCTCTCACTAGATGCATGAACAGTAAACTGAATTATAATTATCAAAAAGTCGTTCTTGTACTTGTAATGTCAGTAAAACTATATTTAATATAATATCTTCAGTGTGGATATATATATCTTTTGCTTAAAAATTGTCAATAAAAATACTCTCTAATTCAATAAGAAACTTTATTTCTCACTAATTATTGCATAACTAAATATTGGTGTATGCATTGGAGGGATATTGAGGGCAACATAAGGAAGTAATGAGTAAATATTAAAAACCTAAGTAGGAGGAAGTACCTATTCATTACCACATCTTTTGGCTCTACCATTCTATATAATTACTGATTAATACCACTACCTTTTTGTGAGTTAATGTTTAGCGAAAATTTTGAGCGAGATAGAACTACAAAAAAAATTCACTTAAAGCGTTTGGTAGTGAATAAAAATATAATAAAATTATATATTATATATTTAGTCATACCAATATTAAATTAAATGAACAACAACTCATATGAGCTTAAAGTTTTTAATTGCTATATGCAATACTAAAAAAAATCTAAAAAAGAAATTTAGAGTAATTGTAGAAAGAACGACCCACAAAAATTTAGAACTGGTAGATGATAATAATGAGAAGGCGTTAAACAAAAAATAATGAAAGAACCTAGTATTATACAACATAATTCTTCCATCACGAATTTCAACTTAATTAATAGAGTTCAATTTAAATATTATCCTATTTAAGTTGAACCTTAAAAAAAAAAAAAAATATTAGGGATCATTCACCCTCGTGAATAATCCGTTCATGTCATAACATTAACGAGCAAAAAAACAATAATTTACATTCCACAATTCATCGTGTCTCGAACTTATATTTATCTCAATCTCTTCTCTTCCTTTATCTCTCTCTTACTTTACCCACCCGCAAACCAAAAACCAGTCTCTGCGTCACAATGTCTGGTCGCCAAATTTTAACCACACAAATAATGGCACACTAAAAAATTCTACATAAATAGCTATATACTCGCCAACCACTTTTCACCCTCTGTCTGTTCTTATTGTACTCCAACCTTTCTTCCTTTCACTTGATAGAGTTTGGATACCTGAAAAAGATAGATTATTCTATGAGTTTAAGTATTCCTGTCTCCAACGATAAAATAGCGCTGAAGAGAACAAAAACACAGAATCCACAAAAATGTCCACCAAACTATAAAACCGCGAAAATCATATAATTCTACACGACACCAAATACACAAAAACATATTCGAAAGATCGCGTTGACCCACACTACTTCATGTGCGATATATTCTCTCTATCATGTTTGAAAACGAGGCGTTATGCAAACAACCCTAGATAAACAAATCAAACAACTCCACACCAGAGCACCTATGAATGCATTTTATATCTCCGTACAGCAAGAAACGATTATAGTAGCCCAAACCACGACTCCATCCTCCTCCCCTCGAGCGTAAGTCTCTCTTGCACACTCAAAAAAAAGTTCGGTTATTCCAGCTTAAATCCGCAGTGGAGGCCAATGGATTACGCAGGGAATTTTCTTATATTTCCAGATCACCCTTTTTTAATTCTTGACCCTACGGTCACCCGTTGGTATTAACCTACCTTACGTATTCTCTCGTAAGAACAAAATAACACCACTATACAAAGATATCCATATCTTACTATGCCCTAGTGTATTGGGTTGAATCGGGTTGCTCCCACGCACAACCTTCGTGTTGAAATTTTATATTACAGAACCTTTGGGAGACCAAGAACATAAAAATACCAGCGAGGGGCTCCCTCCTAAGCCTGAGAGGCGAGTATTTGCTCTCCAAGTCACCATACCTAAATGTTTTCAGCACCAATAATAATAATAATTTTATGAGGATAAATTTTATAAAAATGAGAAATATAAAATTAAAAATAGAAAACACAATTCAGTAAATCTTTTTTTTGGTTTCATAAAATTTATTCTTTATTTTAAAAACGGTTTTCTCAAAAGCAAAGAAAAAAAATTAAATAAGTTTTAACAAACAATTTATTTATTTATTTTTTAAAGAAAAAAATGAAAAATGAGAAATTTAATCGAAAACAAATACAACCTTAATTTTCAGGTATAAAAAATATACGTGCATGACAGGTGGTATAAAAAATATTTTAATTTTTTACGGCTCATATTTTACTCTCGTTGTCCTCCACCCCAACACAAATAGTCTCTGCCTCTCGCTTTTTTTTTTTACTGTCTTTTCTCTTTTCAATCCTAAGACTTATATTATGTTTGGAAAGAGAAAGTAAAATTTGGGAGGAAGTAAAATAAGAGTGTAAAATGATACTATTCATTTTACTTTTTTATTTTCCACTTGTTTATTTGAATTGCTGGAAAATAAGAGTGTAAAATAATTTTATTTTTATTATTATAGATGAATAGTAAATTTTTACCATTTATTTTTTATTTTCACTCCATTGTCAAAAATAAATTGTACAAAGTAAAATAAATTTATTTTATGCCCTTTTAATATTTTTACACAAATCAAACAAAGAAATTTGAAAATCCCAATGCATATTTATCCTCTAATCTCTGTGCATCCAATCATATTTTAGAAAGCATTAATCTGAACTTACAAGCTCGAATTGATTCGTTAGCTACCCAAATATTTGTTCAGCTCAAACAAATAAATCTGAGTCCACGGTTTCAATTTACAACTACATATGAGATGTAAAAAATTAAAATTGTTATTTATATCACGTGTCCCTTTTTGGTTGCTGTAAAATATTTTTAGATGATAAATTGAAGGTAGCTTTTAAAATTTTGATCAAGTCAAAATTATTTTTTTCACTGAATCCTGCTAATTAAATAACTATATTTTCATCAAATATTTTTAATTTAAACTGTTATATAAACAACTATTATCCTAATATCTAAAAATTAGCAAATCGGATGATAACTGCTACAATATCTAAAAATTACTAAAAAAAAATAAATAAATAAATTGCTGTACAAGCCCGAAGGTTAGTAGGAACCATAAATTACCTAAATCCTAAGTTTAGGTAACACCAATGAACTTAACACGTTGATCTTGCAAGTCGTTGATTTGAAATTTTCTCAAAGTTTTGAGCTTATAAAAATTTCTATTGTCAATAGCTATATTTATTGGAGTAATGAAATTACTCTTAATTAAATTATAATTTTAATAAATATTTATATTTTTTTTTTTGTAAATAATTAAAAGGAAAGTCATAAAAATTTAGAAATATATTATGGAAATGATAAATGTAATTTTAAGGGAAAAAATGATAAACAACTAGTTGGATAAGACGAAAGAAAGCAAAGCATTCAATAGTTCCTCTTCCTGAGAAAGGCTAAAATTTTATAATATGATAAAATTTAAGGATATAAAAAAATATGCTTATTAATATGCAAAAACTAAGGCAAAGTGTATGGCAAAAAATAAAATAAAATAATATTTAAATATCAAATTTCTTTTATCATGATATTCTTTATTTGATGGGAAAGCAAAATTTCAGTGCATGTAAATACTCTTTTTGTAGTGAAAACATAAAATATATGTTTGAATTTCTTTCTTAATTTTTATATAAATTGCAAATTCTTTGTTTGGATTGAGGAAGGATGTAAAATAGTGGAGTATTATTCACTTTGCCTCTTTATTTTATACTTACTGTTTGGATTGAAGGGAAAATAAAATGAAGGGGTAAAATAAATTTATTTTACTTTATTTGCACCTTTGCTGTTTTATTTTTCTACCATTCTGTGAGTAAATTGAAGGTAAAAAAATAAAGACTGTTTACATCCAATCACTTTTTTATCTTGTTTCCGAATAAGGTAATTTTTCGAAAGAATTTTCACTTCGTTATTTTATATTCCTACCTATTTTACACCAAACCAAACCAGCTGAAAGTGTCAATTTTAACTGAATGAAAATACTACTAAATAGTTATACTGAGGGGTAAAACGAAAAGTAAATTTAAGTTTCGCAGTAAAAAGGAGAAAGCAATCAAAACAAAACGAACAAAATCAGCAACAAAACAAATTTCGACGTGCACTTGGAAATAGTTGAAACGGTTCACCCCGGAAGGTCGATAGCAGTTGAGCAAACTCCATCCCCACGCCTTTACCCTCGTCGTGGATCACACTTTCATAGAAAACCCAAAATCCTTAACTAGTGTATTCCACGCACCTTTACTCGCGCAAACAAATCGGTCCCACCGAAGCAATTCCTCAGTCAATCATTTCACCCTCTCCAAAAATTTCACGAGTCACTGTCACCAACATTTCCACTACCTTCTTAGATTTTGGATCCCACATATCAAACAAAGCTAAGAAATAAAATACTACAAAGGACTCACAGGATCAAGCCACGCGTAAAGTGCAGCCACTTGTCACACTTAATCTCTCACGTGTCAATCGGTACGTGCGGTCCAATATTTGCATGGCCAAGCTTCGCTGTGGACCAAAACGCCAATAATACTAACAAAGGAAGGGTCACATCCATTCAACACCCGCCACGTGTTAAGATATGGCCACACACTTCCCTCTATTTATACACCTCTTTAGCTGCGTTTGAGAGAGCACGAAGGCCTGAGATTGAAAGCAAATTGCAGTTTTCTTCTTCTTTTCTTATTTTTGTGGCTTCTTTGCTTGCAATCTCGGTTCAGTTTCTCGCATTTTAAAGAAAAATGTTTATTGAGAAGTTTAAGGTCGAGAGTCCTAATGTTAAGTACACGGATGATGAGATTCACTCTGTGTATAACTATGAAACCACTGAGCTGGTTTATGAGAACAGAAATGGTACCTATCAATGGATTGTCAAGCCCAAATCTGTCAAATACGAATTTAGGACTGATATCCATGTACCTAAATTAGGGTTCGTACCTTATCCCCAATTTTAATTTTTTTTTCCCTTTTTTTTTTTTTTGTTACATTTTGAGTCTTTTATGCTAATCGATTGATCTCATGGGTCAATTTCTAAAACCTTGAAATGTGATAATTTTGTGTTTTAGGGTTATGCTTGTTGGATGGGGAGGAAACAACGGTTCTACTCTCACCGCTGGGGTTATAGCGAACAGAGAGTGAGTAATGAGTACTTGTTCTGTATTATAATTATAATTTCTGTTTTTATTTTTATTTTTTAATATTTGGTTGGTATTATTTAGTTGTTAATTTAATTCTGTTTCATGAGTTGGTGGGGTGTGCAAAAGCAAATTTTGTTTTCTTTTGAATTAGTAACTGAATTTAAAGATGTGCGTCATGATTGTTCTTCAGAGGAATCTCATGGGCAACCAAAGACAAAGTGCAACAGGCCAATTACTTTGGTTCACTTACTCAAGCATCATCAATTAGAGTTGGGTCTTTCAATGGCGAGGAGATTTATGCTCCTTTCAAGAGCCTCCTTCCCATGGTAATTTTCTAGAGTGAATTGTTATTTAATGTCTATAATTTAGTCAATTTTACAAGTCCGAATATCTATTTTTAAAAAACAACTGTAGAACAGTACTGGGATTCTTTAACTTTCATTTTCAATTGATTTTTGAAAGCATATGTCCTGACTTGTAAATTTTATCAAATTATAGGGATTACACAGTTATTCACCTAGCTTTCTATTACCAATTCTTTTTCTTTTGTTTGTTTAATTTTAAACAGCATGTGAAAGAAACTAAATTTTTTGAGTTAATTAGTGAAAGTTGTTAAAAATCAAATACAGGTGAACCCAGATGATATTGTGTTTGGGGGATGGGACATAAGCGACATGAATTTGGCAGATGCTATGGCCAGGGCTAAAGTCCTGGACATTGATCTTCAAAAGCAATTGAGGCCCTACATGGAATCTATGGTCCCACTCCCTGGAATCTATGACCCTGATTTCATTGCTGCTAACCAAGGCTCACGTGCCAACAACGTGATTAAAGGCACCAAGAAAGAGCAAGTTGAGCAAATTGTCAAGGACATTAGGTATAGTTAATTCTCCTTTCTGTTGTATTAGATGAAATAGACTTGCAGTCACCAGTTCAGGATTTTAATTTTAAATTCTTTTATAATATGAAACCAGTATAAAAAGGACCTTTTATTTTGTTGATTTTTGTGAAAAAGTGATAGCTTTTTATGGTAAAAGTGACTAGTGTAATGTTTTGCTAATATGTGGTGTGATGATAATCAGGGAGTTTAAGGAAAAAAACAATGTGGACAAGGTGGTAGTGTTGTGGACAGCCAACACAGAGAGGTACAGTAATGTTCTTGTAGGGCTAAATGACACTGTGGAGAGTCTGTTGGCTTCTTTGGAGAGAAATGAAGATGAAATATCTCCATCAACCCTGTATGCTTTGGCCTGTGTTTTTGAAAATGTCCCTTTCATTAATGGAAGCCCACAAAACACTTTTGTTCCAGGTACTAAATTTTACTAACCCCAAATTTCCTTTCTTTACATTTTCTGAGTCTGCAATTACAAATTAATTTTAAATTGTATAATATGTACAGGACTTATTGATTTGGCTATTCAGAGAAACTGTTTGATTGGTGGAGATGACTTCAAGAGTGGTCAGACCAAGATGAAATCTGTTCTGGTTGATTTCCTTGTTGGGGCTGGTATTAAGGTATACAAATGTTTCCTTAAGTTTGTCCATAGGTACTTAGTTGTTTTTAGTGGCCTGGGTGCTTACCTCTTATGTTTTATATATTAATTGACTTTGATAACCTTGTGTTTTACTAAATGAACACGAAATTCCGCATTCTGAATGAAAATTCTTGGTACTGCAAAAGTTTTCAGTGCGAATTTCAAAATGAATTTCAATAAACAATCAATCTCATTTCTTTACTAAGCTCTGGTTTAGTTTATACTGTATTATGAATGATCGGGAAGATACTGATGGATAGTTGAAATGGTGATGTGATGCAGCCAACATCAATAGTGAGTTACAACCATCTGGGAAACAATGACGGAATGAATCTCTCAGCACCACAAACTTTCCGTTCAAAGGAAATCTCCAAAAGCAATGTTGTTGATGACATGGTATCTAGTAATGGCATCTTGTATGAACCTGGTGAACATCCTGACCATGTTGTGGTCATTAAGGTAATTTTGCTCTCGCATTTCTTTAGCTTGCCAATATTTATCTTTAATTAGTGAAAGCTTTAGTGATTTTGAGCATTTGCCCTTGCAGTATGTGCCATATGTGGGGGATAGTAAGAGAGCTATGGATGAGTATACTTCAGAGATTTTCATGGGTGGCAAAAACACCATAGTCCTGCACAACACATGTGAGGACTCTCTTTTGGCTGCACCAATCATCCTGGATTTGGTCCTTCTTGCTGAGCTGAGCACCAGGATCCAGCTTAAAGCTGAAGGGGAGGTGTGTTTTCATCTCTACATCACTAACTCGGTGATTACCTTTGTTAGATTCCTGTGGATTCTGATCTTACTTCTGTGCAGGGTAAGTTCCATTCCTTCCACCCTGTGGCTACCATTCTCAGTTACCTCACCAAGGCTCCTCTTGTAAGTTCCACTCCTAGATTGATTATTTTCTTAATGCTAGGCTTCCATTGTGAGTTCTAGCTTAGCATTGCTATTAGTAATAGATTATGTCTAAAATGACATAAAATATGGTTTTGGCGTGAAAAAACAGGTTCCACCAGGCACCCCAGTGGTGAATGCACTGTCAAAGCAGCGAGCAATGCTTGAGAACATACTGAGGGCTTGTGTTGGGCTGGCTCCAGAGAATAACATGATCTTGGAGTACAAATGAGAGAGAAGAGGCCATACTAGGAAGACAAGAAAAATAGTGGAAGAAGATCGGTCCAGTCCAGTAGCTATAAGAACCCCTTTCACTAGTTTCTGTGGTTAATATCCTTGATATGTATGTGAAGTTCGTGTGATATTTGCCCTCGATTTATGGATTTTGTGTTCTTTCTTTTCTTTTCTTTTATTTTTATTTTTCCTTAGGACGGTGCTTATGTACAAGCCCGTTTGCTTTGGCTCTCCTTATTCACCAAGCTTCTCTTTTAATTGTCTTGGAAGTAGATAAATATGATCAACTAGTTCTTTATTCTAATTTTTTCCTTCTTTAATTTATTCAAAACGGTAACGTATTAGTATTGTTATGCCCTTTCAATTCCATTTTCATCATTAGGTATTGCAATAATTATTAGATGCAGCTAGTGAAGTACCATTACCATATTTGAAGGGGCAAAAATGGATGAATGGTCCCCGCTTCCCTTTGACCCGGGACCATACATGTGTAGTGTTGATGAATATACATTGAACATGATGATTGATGAACATATATATCAAAGCCAAAGGTCCGCATACGAGGTCTGCAACTATAAATTGATACATCATAACGTTAACTTTCTTTGTTCGTATACTATGGTGGTGGTCCTGTCCTGTCATTTGTAAAATGAAGTAGGTTTTTCCATTTTTAGTTTTGATTCGTGTGATTTGTTTTTATATTTTTATGTTTGAATAATTCTAACTTATTACAAAATTTCGTAAAGAACAATATAATAATCACTAATCTACTAACTATAAAATAAAATCCTAAAGAACAATACAAGGTTGGATAAAGGTGACTTTGTTTACGTCAAAAGTTAAAAAAAAAAAAATTGAGAGAGAAATATAAGCGATAGATAATTATTATCATATAATAAAAATATAGCTCTAGGCTTCCTATTGAGTGCGAAGAATTTCTATAAAGGCATTATTTGCGACAATTCTCAGAGCGAGCTATAGATATAAGAGGGTGGAATTAGTAAAATTAGTCATTTACCTCAGAGATCAAGATCGATAAACCAACCACTAATTAAGTTAAATTTGATGCTTGTCTTTGAGAGTCGATGCGAGAGACAAAAACAGGTTTCACTACTTAAGGTCCACATCGATCCCTTAACAAATAGTGTGTTAGAATTTTGACATGCTAGCGTTCAATTAAAATTGTTCGAATCTTAAGCTCAAGCCGAGAGAGAAAAGTGATCTGCCTCATCTGCACAGACTTGAGAAACCTAACCATATAACGAGCGAATAAGGACTCATGTGTGGTGGGGCACTGAGAGGGCGTTAACCCAAGAAACAAATATAAACACAATAAAGAATATCTTTTGTAAGGAGAGAGATAAACAATATTCAGAGGAAGTATGTCATAAGAAGGTCCCAAAATCAAAATGGCACTACTGTTGAAATAATTGGAGAACACAAGCAAAAATACAATCTAGTGGAATAAAAGTCTATAGGAGAAAATAATACGAGCGATGATCCTCAGAAAATTACTACTATACGTTAACAACATATTTAAAGAATAAATCATTAAACGAGCACACTCTCTTTTCTAAACTAAAGAGTATTTTATAGAATGAGATGGTTCTACACAAAAATACATCACACTTATAAAATAAAAACTTAGTAAAAAGTGACGAAAAGGATGAGAAATATCGAGAGGGTGATCAGATGGAATTGGATCTATGTTGGGACTCCCATCCCGAAATTTAGAAATGATAATAGGAACGTAATAATATGTGGGTGTAAGCTCATTCTTTCTTTTTCTCTGTTCCTTTTTAATTTTTTAATTTTTCCCCATATAATGCGTTTAAGACTTGGTAGCGTTTATCTAATATTACCTCTATATAAGACTGAAACCCCGTTATATAGCCTAATCTGGCGTACTTACCTCCTTTTTATTTTCACTTAAACCTAACTAACATTTAACTTTCTATATAATTAAATTTTGTTCTTAGAAGTATGAACTATTAAACTATGAAATAAAATGTAAGTTTTAATCCCGAGAGCAATAGTTTCATCTTTTGTGAGATTATTCTTAAAAACAACTTGTTCGAATTTTTAAAGAAATGAAAAATTTCAATTAATCTCATCGGGACTTTTAACTGAAAACATACCTTCTAAAAATCTGAATTTTATATTTTTCAAAAACTAAATAAACGCGTTAAATTAATGTTTAATTTTAGAAGTAATCTGACGAGGCGTTCTGGAATATGCCTCCACTTATTCCTCATAATTTTTCTCTAATTGTTTCGAAACATAATTATAGGGAGAGACCTATTGCCCATGAGAGGTATATTACCAAGAAAATCGATTTGAAAATATGACGAGACCTAGAGAATAGACACAGCAATAATCACATAAATAATCCGAAAGATTTGGGCGAATAGATATATCACGGAGTGGCAACAAGAATGCGAGCAATAGAAATGCGCATTCTAGAATTCCTCCTGCCTTCTCCCCTTTTTGTAACCTGCCTATTGATTTAGCGCGAGGCGAACCATTAACCACTCACTGTCTCACGTCACTGTTGTTGCGACTCTCTCGCAAATAATTCTCTACATTGCGAAAGCTTTGAAATGAAATTCCGAGTACCCACGAACCATATCATATCAAAAGGCGATACAGACCTCCACCACAAAGGTCACGACACAAGTAGTTGTCTCGTTCTCTCTACACCTAATTACATCTAATTCTTCTGATCTTCACCATTCTATTTCTTATCTTTCATTGCTTCTTTACATTCCTTTTTCTTCCGCGTGTATTCACGCGTACTTCGCATACTCACTTGGTCGAGCTCGAGGTTCGCGTATCCCGCCTGAGGTCTCCATGTTTGCACGCCATAATTGTAAAATGAAGTACGGTTTTTTCCCCCATTTTTAGTTTTGATTCGTGTGATTTGGTTTTTATATTTTTAATGTTTGATAATTCTAAACTTATTACAAAAGACTTGTCGTTCTAAGCGCGAAACAATATATAGAATCAATCACTAATCTACTAGATTCTATAAAATAAAAGTTCCTATAGAACACATGATCAAGGTTGCACTAACAAGGTGACTTTTTTGTGAGCGCCGTAGCAGCAAATGCTTGTTACATAAAAATAGATCCACACAACCAAAATTGAGAGAGAACGTTCCTAACTCTATACACATGCAAGCGTACCTATACCTATATAAGATTCTATAACGCAGTCATGATAGCCCTTCTGTTACCAAGTTGATATTCATGTCGCGGCCACAGCAGCAGCACCAAAGCTTCTAAGCCTCACTGCCAAGAAAAACGATTGACGGATACAACTCATTCGCGGCTGACTCTATAATACGCCACTAATTTAACTCCTAAATCTGGGTTTATTTATGTATAATTAGACGTATTCCGTACACTTTGATTCCATACTATAAATATTTTACCTTAATAAATTAACGGGTTAAAGGCACGACTTTTTTACTTGAAGCAAATAATTAATTTATTTAAACACCCTTTAACGTTACAAATTAGATCAATTAAACACAAATTTATGAAAATTATTATTTCAAATTACGACACGCGATTTATTAGAAACTCCTACCATCTACCATTTATAAGGTAAAAATCCCAATAGGTGTCGATCCATACTATAATAAAGTTAAATAGATTTAATTTATTTTGGGATAAGGTGTTAAAAGCCGTCTTAATCTTTGTTCTAAATAAAAATGGTTGTCATCAAGTAAATAATCCTTGTATAATGTATATATATGTTATTAGATTGTTAAGTAGGACTTAATTCTCATGTCTATCTGACGAAATGTAAAGAAGCCTGATCACAAAAAATTTTATAAACGGTATATCTTAAAGTCAGATAAGATATTTAGTAAAGTATAAATAGATTATAAATTTCCTGCATTTTTTAAACTTCTACTGTGAGTAGTTAATAATACATGAGCCTTCTCGTTGTACTTTCACAATTCTAAGATATATATATATATATATATATAAAGATTGAGGAACAAATCGGTGAGTAAATAAATTTACTCCTTAATTCTGTTATTTTAATAACTTTTATTTGATTCATTAAATATTTTAACTTATAAAATTACACGGGTTAAACACTTTAGAAAAATTAATTTATTTAACACTTTAACTTACAAAATTAGATCAATTAAACACAAAATTTATGAAATTATTATTTCAAAAATTATGCTAACTACATTAAGTCAAGGTGTCATAAAGTTAAAGTTATAAGGTGACCGCTTCTGCAAAGGTGTCACAAAATTAAAGTTATAAGATAGCCGCTTCTGCAAAGTAGAGCGACAAAATTAACGATATCAGCAGAGTAGATAATAGATTATAAATTTCCTGCATTTTTAACTCTACTACTGCCCTCTCTCTCTCTCTCTCTCTGTATATATATATTCGGTATTATTATTGTTGAAAGTGTAGCATGTGATAAGTGCATTAATATATGATATAAAAGTATTGGTTTGCAGGCAAAAGCCAACTCACAATAATTAAAATTCACATTCTTTTGAACTTTTTATGTTCAACTATCAATGAAAAGTAGTATTTGTTTATATAGTTGCGTACTGGGTTGGGTTCAAAATTCTTGTTGTTTGGTTCAGTTCACTTTTCTCATAGCTTGATATTTTGAATCTACTAATTAACAAGAATTTCAACTTTAAATAATATCATAACTAATTAACAATCATATAAGAAAATTACAGATATTCACTCCTTTTTTACAGGGATTTTCGATTCATATTTAATTTTACATAATTAGATATAATTTTATCTTTGTCAACCAATACTTCCATATACTGTACATGCAAATTCCAAGTATGAAAATGGCTGCATCACTAGGATTGAAGTAATTTGAAGATATAATTAAAATATTGTCATATTTATCATGCAAAATCATTAAATATCAAGATGCTCTATTTCAATCATCTTATAAGAATATGATGTAGCTAAGTATGAGTAAGAATGTAAATATATAGAATATGACATATCTATGTATGGGTAAGAATATGGAGAGTGCTTCTAGATATGACCTACATATGAATATAGGGAATGTTTCTAAATCATACAATTATTATACACAACATAATTTTGGATAGATCCAATTTTTACTTCGTCTATAGCCTACTCCGATGACTACTGAGATGAGGGAAGGTGTTGATGAACCAAATTTTCTTCATCAAATAAATATGAAACAACTTCTACATTGAAATTCTCAGTTGCATTCCAATTTTAAACAATAAAACAAAGGAAAACATGCAAAAATAACCAAAAAAAAAAAATTATATAGAAGATATAATCTTTATGTATTTGAGAAATTTGGGAGCGTATTTGGCGAATAATAGTTTTGTACTATTTTGATTCATTTTCCTTTAATCCCATCAAATGAGAATGCAGTGGCATATGCACTTTTTTGAAATTAAAATATGATTTAGCCTTCAAAAAATTGAAATAACTATCAATGGATAACAATAGATTATTTGAGGGTTACCAAATGTAAAGAAGACTGTATATTAATATTCGAATATTCAAATACATAGAATGAGTTTTAGGAACAACTTGAACCCGAGTTACACATTTATAAACATTATTATAATAATAAATTACATAAGAATAGAAATGTTATAATATTACAATATAAAAGATGACTCATTTTGAATTATTAAAACATATTCTGTTAATTATATAGACTAACATGTCAAAACATATTTAAAATCTCCACACATCACTATAGAAACTCCAGATTTTGAGTATTTTTTCCAAAGCATGCAGAAGACAAACAGCTTTATACACATCCATCGCATTATAAACATATATTATTTATAACCTTCAACTATTTTTCCAGTGGACGAAAGATTTACAAAACAAATTCAATCCTGTACCTAAAACTTTTTCACCTATAGAAGTTTATCTTATATTGGACTATAGATGTGTGTTTGCCTCAACATAAAAATGACTATAGTTAGAATTTTTGAGAGTTTGAAAATCTAAACCTATATGAGTTTCAAGATACTAAAATCTACTCCTTACTGCTTTCAAGTTCCAGCACTTTCAAAATAACAATTAGGGTAACATTTTTTTCCATAATAGTTAAAAATTACTCCATTAATACTAAAATAAATTACAAACTAACTTTAAAAGCTAAGTTATAAATTAACAACTTAAAAATTACAATAGCTCTTGATGAACTTTCATATTTTGGAGACCTCGCATAGTTGCTTCACAATCAATAATGTCAAAGCTATGAAAAATTCTTATAATATACATCTGTGTGTGTGTGTCAAAGCTATTACAGTTGCTCTTGATGAACTTTCATATTAAATTTTATCTTTTCAACCAATACAAAATTCTTACACATATATATAGTTGGTTGTTAGCAGAATTGTTTATTGTGTAAGTTAGTGAAATTAAATTTGTAAAGAAAAGTATGGACTTGGCTAGGCGGGTTGCAAAAATTTTATACTTTTGAGTTCCAAGTCTAGCCATGAACAAGTTTATTTGTTAGTTTTTTTTAGTGTTAATGATATAGAGTTTAATAAATAGTTTAGTGAAGAAGAAAATATAATTAATTATAATAATTACATATTCATAATTGCAATATGCCATAGTATCTACTATCCTACTCCCAACATGTAGAAATAGTTTACATATTTTTCCCTTACTCTTACTCTTCGAGGTAGATACAACAATCTATTTGGTTATCATGTAATTTAGTAAATAGCTTGAAAAATAAGAGAATAAATAGTGATATATTGATCGTATTATTAGACTTTTATTAGACAATATACTATTAATTAACTTGAACCACAATACATGCGGGATCATTTGTTTATTTGGTATTCTCTGAAAAACGATTTACATTATTGTTAAAAGTTCTTAACTTTTATTAAGTATAACTATATAACCTTAGCTAAAGTTTTAATTTTCCAAATTTCTTAACTCATTCCACCAATAATCAAGCTAAAAATTTTGAACCTTCTAAATTCCTTCATAATTCTCTAAAAAATTTTCATGAACTAGTCATTATCAAGTTATAAGAAGAAATGAAGAGCCAAAAGAATGGAAAAAACTAAGATAAAAAACAATTATGGAAGGAAATGAAAATAAAAGCTATATGTTGAAAATGAAGAGCAAATAAAAACAAAGGATAAAAAGTGGGATTATGTGATGATGAAAAGTTTTTGCAACGGATGAAAAGTTATAGAAGGAAATGAAGAGTTAAGAGAAATTGATAAAAAAAGGATAAAGGGTTATGGGAGGAAATGAAGGAAACCATGATGAAAAATTATATGAGAAAATGAAGACAACTAGTCTCAATCAAATCGTGGAAAGAAATGATAAGTCAAATTATAGATGAAGAGTTGTGGAAGTTACGATAAAACTTCAAACATATGAATTATCTAATATAATTTTTCATTAACTTAGTGCCATTGATCCATCTAGTATTATATGAAAACTAGTACTGTCTTGATCTGCGCTTCGTGAGAGTTACAGATCTGATGTTTAAGTTTTGAATGTGACGCATTATCGTTTTTACAAGTATTTGAGAATAAAATTTAAAGGGATAATCGAAGATTAGTAGATTTGGTCATTCCCATTATAGAAGGGATATGTCCATCAATAATCCAATCGAATGTCACAGTAAATAATTATGAGGTTGTTCACTTTCTCGCTCAGAAATAGAGTAAAAAATTAATTGCATTCGATGCCGGCGGGATCCTTTAGAACTTGGGATGAACTTTGTGTTGTGTTCTTGAAGAAGTACTTTACTCTAAGCAAAACTCAGAAACTCAAGACGGAGATTGCTACTTCCAAGCAAAAACCTGATGAGAGTCTTTTTAAAGCTTAGGAAAGGTATAGAGACATTCAAAGGCAATGCCTTCATTATGGTTGGGATAAACATTTTTTGATCCATAAATTCTTTGAAGGATCCTTGCCAAGTGTGCAAAGTGCCTTACATGCAGCAGCGAGTGGTTCATTCTTTGAGAAAACTATTAATGATGCTTTCCGATTGATTGAACAAGTGGCTAACAATAACCAAAGATGTGGAGGAGAACCGGTCTTGACTAAGAAAATTCCGGGGATGCTTGAAGTCAATGGAATCACTTTGTTGATAGCCAAGTTTGATTCATTGGAAAAGAAGCTTGATAGCATACAATAAATAAATATGGCTTCACGACTTTCGGTGTATGTGGTGGTGTTGATCATGCTAATTCAAAGTGTGTGTATGTTGCTCAATTGGTTAGTGAAGAGGTTGTGGAAGATTTCGACTATGTTCAAAACCAATATCAGTAAAAGCCTTTTGGAAATCAATTTCCCAACAACTTTGGCCCAAATTGAAAAACCCATCCAAACCAGTTGGAGCAATCAATCAAACACTCTTCAGCCACCTAATTCTAGACCACAACTACCACCAGGTTTCCAACAAACTAAACCACCCCAAATACTTAATCAACCATTCCCTAACCCTCAACCACCTAAATCAAATGTTGACCCCAACTTAGAAAGATACATAGCTCTCCAAGAATAGATCAATAAGTCAGTCAGCACTTAGTTTGAACAAATGTTTAGCCACATTAATACAAAGATTGGCTAACTTGCCACTCACCAAAAAATGCTTGAGACCTAAATATCTCAGCAAGCCAGCTCTTCTAACCTAAAGGCCCAAGGTAAGCTACCTAGCCAAACACTTGAAAACCCTAGGGAACATTGCAATGCCACAACCATTAAGAGTGGAAATACTTATGAGAAACTAATCTCATAACCCAAGCCTAAGAGGAATGAAGGAGAGAGAGAGTGAATCGTGAGCAAGAGGAGCCTCCTAAGGAAAAGCTAGTGGAAGAGAAGTTGAAAGAAACCACTCCACCACCAAAGGAAGATGATGAGAAGTCTAAGGCTAAAGATTAAGGGAGGTATAAAATATTGCTTTAACGGTGATCTTGCAACTTGCAGATAGATCGATCAAGTATGCTCTTGGAGTGGTGGAACATGTTCCAGTGAAGGTTGGAAAATTCTTCATACCAGTGGATTTTGTAGTCCTAAACATGGATGAGATAGACATATATCAATCATAGTGGGAAGACCTTTCCTAGCTATAGCCAGAGCATTGATAGATGTGAAAAATGGGAAATAGACTCAGAAATGGATTAATCCCTTGAGGAACTAGGAAGAATCATAGAAGTTAATTGGCAGGGATCATCACCACACATGAAAGTAGGTGTTTTAATGATCTTGGAATGTTTAAGTTATTTGGAAGAGAGCATAAATATAAATGGATTCCTTAATCTTGAAGGTGCATCCTTAATAGATTAAAAAAAGGAAACTTGAATATGATATTGTTGTTCAATAATGTCGATCCCTTCAAGCTTTCTTTATTTGAATACAGTAACCTTGCTTGCTTAGATTTTATGTTTAGTAGTTTAACTTACTTCCTTACTTTTAGTTCATTTAGATTTGAAAGAAATAATCATTTATTCTTCTAGACAATACAATTTGGGTTCAAAGCTAGTATTCAGTCCTCTTATCCCTAAGGATGATAACTTATTATACTACTTGCCCAGTCCTTATACTAATCACAAGTTTTTGGAGCCATTACTAGAGATCAAACCCGAGAGATTTTTTCTTTTTTGCAGTTTCTTATTCTATTCTTATTTTAATGCATCTTATCAACAATTATACCATTACTAGTTTACTACTATTAATCAAATTCTTGAAATAGACAATTAATTAAATCATATTTTTTTTATATTTCTAATTTATGAAAAAATTATAAAAATTTATGATTTAAACATATTAACTATATGTTTTTAATCAATATGAATGTCAAATATGAACTATATTTATGTGAAGGAAAGAGTATAAAAATATCTCAACTCTAACTTCAAACATTATAACAAAAGTCAAGCATGGTTATAAATAAAAATGCATTTTGACAAATTTGAGATTTTGAAATGGAATTACAAGAAAAGCCCAACGATACTGTTGGATTAATTAATTAATCTGTGCTGTTTATTTATTTTTAATCGTAGCCCAATTCTCTTATGCTAAACTTTCAGCCCTTTTAAGAACCCATTAGTTTATATTCATAATACCCATGATTGAAACTTTTTGGGTAAATAACTAGTTATTAAAATACTCTTCCTAATTAAATCTTTAATACCACTCCTAAAATCACTACAAAATAAGAAATAATAATGTTACATTTGAAATACTTCCAAGTAACATAACCACGTACAAAACACAAAATTCACATCAAAATAACTACCGACCACTTCAAATTATCAAACTACCCCCTAAAATAGCAATACTACAAATTTATGTCCAATGTCCTTCCAGATAAATTCCAAGCACAATAAATCTCCCTCTGAACATCAACAGCTTATTTTCACTGGTCATACCTAAAAGTTAGTGTATTTTTAAGTGGTGAATGGAATTACAGGGACATTTAAGTAAGACTTTGTATAATTCAGACACTGCCAGTGAAAAAAAAAGCCAAACATGAACTTAATTTAGAAATGCATTAAAAAGACCAAAATACCCCGATATGGAAAATGATTGAAGAAATTCCTTCAATCAATTTCCAAGTTCATGTAAAAACTACTCCAACCACACACAATATATTGTGGACATAGATTACAACTGAACAAAAATGATTAAAATACCCTTATAAGAAATATGAGATTCTACACTAATTTAGTAAATCTATTTATAACATTTTGAATATATTTAAATTTTAAAAGAGCTAATGGTGTCTTTTAAATATAAATTATACTTGAAATAATTAATGAGAATAAACATGTAAATTAACAAAAAATATTCCTAATTTTTTTAAAAAAATAATGAAATTAAAAAAAAGAAATATAGGTATAGGTGGATGATCAAAGACTATGAATGGGTGGTCCCTTAAGGAGACAAAAGACGTATGGGACTTTATGGTGAATTCGAAAGGGTCCCAAAACAAAGCAACATACCAAACCATTTCAATCACTCAGCAAATAACACCAAATGAATCTCTTTCCTTATTTTAATTAATAAGAAGCTGACGGTGCCCCAGATTCTTTGGCTCTTCCTTTTCTTTCTTTTTCTCCCTTTTCATTTTCTTTTATTTTATTTTTTTTCCCTCTTTCAAAACAACTCTTGGGTTTTTTTTTAGACTAAACCAACTTGCTGAAATTAAGAAAATACATAACATGAAGATGACTTATCAGTCTTGGTTGTGTCTCTTTTCTACTATTTAACTTTTAATTTTTATTTGTTTTTATATCAAATTGCAAGCAACTTTTACTAGATTATGCAAGGAAAAATAAGCATTTTAAAAATCTTACTAAATATATTCAATTTATTTTTAATTCTTTATATAATAAACAAACCAGTTATTAAATTTATTGATGAATTTTTCATCATTATTTATTTATTTTTAACTTTATTAGTAACAGCTATCATATGCCAACAATAAATCTTACTAAATATATTTGACTTAATTATTAGTACAAATTTGAAATAATTGAACCAGATGCTTCCTAAATCAAATAAACTTAATTATTGATAAACTATGTATTTTGTTAAGCAATTAATATTTATATTGCCGGAGTCCTATTTGTAATTGTGCAAGGATATATCTGTAAATGGTCAAATATATTGAGATTTTTTATCTTCTAAAATATGGGTTGGAGTCTATCTAAGAATTTCTCATTTTTCATTCAGTATGAAAGGAAGTGACATTTTTAATATTGCAATTTGTAACTTGTAAGCAATCTTTAAGAGCAATGATATTTCTTTATTTCTTTAGTATTTTGTATTTAGTTTACAATTCTCAATTATTATAATAAATTTTAACTTAGTTAGAAGTTAAATGATATTTAAAAGGTTAATTAAAACAAAGTAGAATCTCCAAGTGGTGATTACATCACCAATTGACAAAAATGTGAAGGTATAATTAATTTTGAAAGATGCAAGGGAATGGGAGTATTTAGGGACCACAGCAAACGTAAATGGCATTTTCATGGTTGAAACAAGGAGCGGTGCTTTTGCTTCTCCACTCCACTAACCAGACATCACCAAATCAAGTGCAACCGTCTTTGGTTCTCCCATAATCTTATGCCCTCCTTTCTCCATTCACATCTTTTTCTTTTTCCTTTTTTCCAACAACATTCACGACCTCGGGATTATTGACTGTTTTATTCACATTTTATAATATTTAAGAGAGTAATATTTCATAATCTGTTTTCTCGAACTATTAATACCAGTATAAATAATATAAATGGTGTTTTATTTTTCGTCAAAACACTAAACGCTACGTGAAAAGTTGTTGTCCAACGAATGACTAAAAGCTAGGTTGGCTTAGTCAATTATCATTTTTTTGTTTTTTGAGATACTCATTTATACTGTGTATTTGTTTAATTGTTATATATTGTGTATAGATACTTGCTGCTTACCTACATGCCTGAATATAGTATTAATTATTTATATAATTTTACTTTGTTGACATTTTTATACTCATAATTTATAATCATTTTTTGGGAGGCTATAATATTAATTAATTAAATCTAGACCTATCTTAATCACAGACCTTATATTTTATTAATTAATCTCTCTTTCCGGGCCCTATTCATTATAATTTAGTAAAAATAATAGTAATCATTAAATTTTAATATTTATTTCGCCTGAGTAGTTCAACTGATATTGAAATAATTACTATGTCATTTTTGTAAAAAAAAAAAAAAAAAAAAAAATTATATTTAGTAAAAATATAGTAATCATTAATTTTAATATTTATTTTCGGCCCTGAGTAGTTTCAACAACTTGATATTGAAATAATTATCTAATGTCATTATTCTGTAAAAAAAAAAACAAAAAAAAAGTATAACAACATTCATTCTGAAAAGGGGAAAGAGAGCAGTAAAAATAAAAAAAAAAAAAAAAAAAAAAAAAAGTTAACAACTCATTCTGAAAAGGGGAAAAGAGCATAAAAATAAAATTAGAGTCAAAAGGAAGAGAATGTAATTATTTTGGTTGGCAAATTATTCTAATGCTGGCCCTAGGTTTGATTTAGAATTGGTTTTAGTTTCTTGAAATTTCTAAATAATAATCAAACTAATAGAAATTCAATTGTAGTTAATTTTCTATCAGGTTCTAACCCATCCTTTGTAATTTTTTAAAAAAATATGAATCCACATATTTGATTTAATTTTAAGTCCGTCCAATTCGATTTAGCCGATTTCAATTTTTCAATTCGATTTGTAATTTTAAATTTCCTATTAATTTCAAAATGGAATGACTCAAAACTAGTATAAATTCATAGTTTCAGAGAATGATATATTTGTTAAGATTCTCTAATGCTTCTCTTAATTAGATGTTTCATTGATAAACACAATCAATAATTTTGAGATTGAGACAGAAAAAGCCATTTGCATTAGTAATTACTTAATTAATTAATTAGCATCCATAGATAAGTGCACCCACTATCATTTTTACATATTTTACAAATAATTAATAATATTTTCTCATCATACCTCATCTTGTAATATATTGTGGGGGCACATGTTGATGGGTACATATAAAAACACACATATATATATTTGTCTCTCAGTAACTATTATATATAACTCTCCCAGTAATTATTATCTTCTTGAAAGTCAAGCAATAGCCATAGTCTCATTTTTACTAGAAGAAGCAGAAGCTTTTGTGCTTGATGATGGTGGTGGTACATGATGATCTTCTTTCTGAACCCTACTACACCTCTCCCTTCTCTCATCATGCTTCATCTGTTTTTCTCTGCACTCTAAACTACAAAAAGCTGTGTCCCCCCTGTAATATTATTCAAAATTACCATCATCACTATATAATAATATGCTAATTTATAATTTTTTTTTAAAGTAATACAAACCCTCAAGTTTTGTATAATTGTATATTGTAGTTAAAGAATGTATACATACCAAAATTTAAAAATTAGAATTCAACTAATTAATTTAATATCCAAAAACCTTACTTTGTACTTCTCTTCAAGTTTTGCTTAAACTCTTAAACCAGCAAGTATAAGAAACTCGCTTTTCTAATTAATACACATATACATATAGATCTATTACATATACATCCTTTTTAATAATTTATGAACAGAACAAACAATTAGTATAACCGACCATAACTAATTTGAAATAAAGGTGTTCTTGTTCTTGTTATTTACCCTGATTAAAATTTAAACGTGTGACTTTATAGTTCTAAAAATAATTAAAAGTATCATTAAATCCAAATGCTGAATAATTTTTACATTTCTTTGTCTAACGACGGTGGATGAGTGAATTACTAGTGAACTATCGATGAGTTCAAGTATTATAGACAGACAGTCCATCATTCAACTACTTGAAAACTATGAACATACAATTAACAAGTGGATTACTAGTGAATGGCATAAAAGCTAAGTGAAAATAGAAAAAAGGAAAGAGAAAGAGATGCATAGATATACCTATACATATATATATCTCTGCCCGGAACCAAGCGGCGTTTGCATAGGCCACAAGTTCTTAAGAAATGAGCAGTCTCCAAGAAATCCCCGGAGCTTCTTCTTTGGTTGTTTCTTGGCGAAACCATGGTGGTCAAGAAACGGTGATCGCCGTCGTATAAACCATTCATGTCGTTATTATTGTAATAATAATTTGGAGACGTCACTTCTTCTAGTACTTCCACCACCACAGGTATCGGCAGTGCATGAGGAGGATCTCCGATCATCTGGTGGTTCTGGTTATTATTGTTCTTATTATGATCAGACGGCTCTGTAGGATCCATGTTGGGAAGATCGACGGCGATGCCAGTCATGCTTGTTGTTCTTCTGATGTGTGGGCGTGGACGCTTCCCCAGCAACATCTTTTTCTAATTGTTTTGTTTATAGAGTGAGAGAAAAGTGTTTGGAGGGAGAGAGAGAGAGAGAAAGAAAGTGAGTGAGAGAGAAAATAGAAGGTAGGGAAAGAAGATAAACGGTGAAGTGGGAAGGGGAGACTGAGAGCGAATCTTGGCCGTTGCTTGCGGGCACGGGGTCCTGAGAAGTCCACGTCATTCTTTTCTTTGCTTGCTTTAATGCTCTTTGCTTTGAGCATTTGCCTTTGCCTTGACCCTCTAGCGCATTTGATCAATGTTTTTTAAACCGGACTCGATTGAATTAAACTTGATGACCGGATCGCAATTAGAACGGATGAATTGGATTGCATCCGAATTTTTTTAATAAATTAATAAAATATAGTTATAATACTTTCATAATAAATATAATTATAAATATAATTATTTTTTAAATCATTATTCATCAAATATCAATCCATAACTTCTCTAAGGAAAAAAAAATCAATCTCTAACTACTAATTTTTATGGTATTCATTATCCAAACTAAATATTATATATTCAACATAATAACAAACATATCAAAATATAAGTTATAATAATTTTTTAAATCATTCATCATTCACACAAAATATAAAAACATTTGTCTACTATAATTTTGACACTTTATTAATTAAGTAAAATAAATAAATAACTAAATAAATACCATATTAAAGAAGATTTTTGAAGAAAAAATTAGACAATTTTTTGTTATGAAATTTTTTTTTAGAAAAAAACAGTAAATTTCAAGAAATGTAAAATTTTGAATCCATAGTGTTTTTAAAAAGAGTGGTTTTATCTTAATCACTTGCTCCATAAAATTTATATTCCCTTCGTCCCAAAAAAATAGTTCAACTTTCATTTTCACACAGATTAAGAAAATAGCAATTATTATAGCTAAAGAATAATTCTATTTATATAAATTTCCTATTATGTCCATATTAAATAACACATGAGCAATTATTATATTGCAATTATTATATTGAAATAATAAGTAAGAATTAATGAGGATTATTGCAAATAAAATAAAATTTAATAAGGGTATAATAGATAATTTAAGAATTAGCTATAATGCAAAAAAAGTAAAGTGGATTATATTTTGAAAAAAATTAAAAAAAAAGAGGGACTATCTTTTTGGATCGGAGGAAGCATAATAAAAGTGAATTTTTTTATTTAAAATTAAAGTTACCTAATTTGCGGCAAAAAATTGGACTAACAATCCGTGAGTTAATCGGTCTAACCAACCAATTTGATCCAGTTTTTAAAATGTTGCTTCTAATATATATATATATAATTTATAAGCAGTTGTTCAAGTGGTAAAAGACGCTTAAATTTAGTAAACGAATTTTATATGGTTAGGTGTTTAATTCTTAGAAAAACGCTTATTAGAAGAGGTAATTATAAATCTCAAAATGATATTAATTTCATATCTAATAGGTTGTTACATGAATATCTCTATTTTAAAAATAACTATAAGGTTTCTAAATTATGATTACATTAATTAAAAAATAACGCTTTGATTCTTTCATTCAAAATAGCCACTTTTACTACTAATTAATTGAAAAATGATGAAACTGAACTTGTAAAAAAGAATTTAATATGAAAACATATAAATTAGTCCCTAAAATATAGAATATATATATATATATTATATATATATATATATATATCTATATATATATTATCTCAATAAATTAAATTTTAAAAAATTTAATATTGACTCATCAACAATATTTAATAACATATAATAATAGCGTAAAGTAACACTATAACACCAAATATGATTAATAATTGATAAAATATTGAAACTTCACTTCTATTTATCACATTAATGCCATGTTCCTTTAAATAAAAAATTGCTAATATTGAAACAAAATTACATTGCATTGCATGATGAGTGAAGAAACTCATCCATAAAAATTAATAATATATAATATAATAGCATAAAATTACAATTCTACAACAAAATGTTGTAGTTTTGATGCTTCTTAACTTAAACTCATATAGAGAAACTACATCATGTAATTGTTAAGGGGTTAGTTATTTCTTTTTTTAGATTATAATTCTTAATAAATATATTATATATTATTCATAATATTATTAGTTAGAAAGACAATAATTATAATATTATTATAATTATTTGCTACAATAACATTAGGTATAATATGAAGTATAGTTATTATTAGGTAGAGTACTAATTATGATATTAAATACACATGTGATGTAATTAATTAGAAAGGTTATAATTATTATAATTCTATAAAAAAAGGTTATAATTATAATACTTTTAAAATATTAGTTGCAATTAATAATAGTTGTAATTTTTAATATTAAATACCATTATAATACAAGCTATAATTAGAAAAGTCATAATTAAATATTTTAGAATATTGATGCATTTATATGATTGATTGATTATGATCTTATAATAGATATGCACAACTACATACACATAAATACACACATTTCAGTTCCAATTTTTATTAAAAAAAAAAAAATTTCCTTGCAGTTATTGGATTCAGTTTGGTCTACTCAAGAACTCCGTATAGCCAACCAAGAAATTAGCACACGAACACTCTAGCTAGTACAACCAATATATCGTGGGCGACTGTGGTTTATATGAAGTAGAGCTCTCTAATCTAAATGGCTAATTTTTAAGGTATAGTTCTTCTAAGGTCATAAGAATTTTTTTTTTTCTTAAACGACTTATTATGCCATTTTTTATCAAAGAAAAAAAAAAAACCAAATCCTTATTATTTTTTTTTTTAATGATTTATCATTTCATTCCTCGACTTTCATATAACCAAACAAATGGTTAGAATTAGAATTCCTATTCTATGTTACATGCGAAACATAAAAATATGAATATGTATTCTATTCTCTATTTTATTCTATTTCATCTATCAAACATAGCTCTTGACGTTATAATTGATCTACGAGATCATTCACTCTATAAAATTATACATATCCTTAAACTTGTAAAATAGCAGCTATCAAACACGAGTTTACATATGTTTCGATTATTAAATATTGTATTCAACGAGCAAGATATTTTGTTCCTTTTTTAAGAGAAATTATTAAATAATAATTTTTCAATTATCTTATAGATGTTGAATACTTATAATTTTCTAAATTAAAAGTTTAATAGATACAACTTACAAGTTAAAAGATTTAATATATCCATTTTCTTGTAAAGTTTAGACATTAATTTACACGTTTTTAAATATAATTTTATAAATTAACAGATTTAATTAGATGAATATAAAAGTTGAGGTGGTACTAAATTTTTTCTATAAAATTTAGATTTAATTTATACATTTTTGCTATTGAATACCATGTGTTGCATGATTAATTGAGATGCACCCTATGCATAAAATATATAAATATATTTTGGGTGGAAAGAAATTAATTATTAAGTAATTTTATTTCTGTAATTTGAAGGTTGGACGGCAAGCATGCATGTAATTACAAATTTGTTTAAACCGGAAAATACAATATCTCTACCATCACTGCCAAACTATATTAACAATTTAACATCACCAAATTTGTTCAACATATATGTATTTTTGGATGCATTCTAATTGTTGCAAAGCCAAGTGACGCGAACCACTTTAATTAGACTCTCTATAAAACATTAATATTCGAGTTTGAGGGTGCAAAATAAAATTTTTTAAATCTTTGTGGGCAGAACATATTGTTTTATATGTTAAAGGACCAAAATGTAAGTTTTTATAAGGAAATTTTTCTGAACAAAAAAAAAAAAAAAAAAAAAAAAAAAAAAAAAAAAAAAAAAAAAAAAAAACTTGTGGTGGAGAGGCACACTACCACCACCGTTGTTTCATCCCTGAATATATAAAGCATTAGGTCTTTAAGGGCAGAGCTACACCATGCTGTAGAGCCTAGAGTGTTCTTCCAGGTTGAGAAAATCAGAGCACACCCACTTACCGACCGAAGAAACTATTTGAGAACTTTGTTGTGTTGTTTATTACAGAACCAACAGATCAATCTGATAATGATTGTCAATCCAAAAATTTAACCTTTTAAAATATACTTTTACTTTTTCAATATGAGATCGTTCTTCTCCAAAAAGTTGTTTACAAAAACAGGAGGGTAAAAGCAAATCTTGTGGAGGTAATCTTGAAGACAAGTAATAGTGGGGTGGAGTGAAGCTATAGCTAAATAGCTAGTGGGTGATAGAACAGCTTGGCGGAGAGAAAGATGACATATCCGAAAAGTGTGTTTCGAATAGAATTTGAACAGTGTGTGATAGATGGTAAAAGGAACTTAAAGATTGAAGACATAGACACGTAATGGTGAGGTGGACTGAACCTACAACCAAACGTACATATAGCAAAGAGAGAGGGAGAGATTTGAGTTGGAATGGACAGCCAACAAACATCTTTTTTCACTTTTGTGAATGTTTGGCATGCATCCAATGCTCTTTTGATGCTGTGTGTTTCCTTACTTTCATCATCTACCCATTCAACTTCAAAGCTGAATATTCACATAGATTTGTAATGTGTTTACCAAAAATAACATATTTGTACGCAAAAGAGATGCATATTACTAACAAATCGAAGGAGTGGAGGAAACATCACTTTCTTGTAAGAAAGAATCGATGGATGTTCCAAATTATTAATTCTGTAAAAAAATTGTATTGGTTTTATATAACATTCTTCGATAAAATGAATGCATTCTTTCACAAAAATAAGATTACAAGCCAATAGAATAGCAATGGGACGAAGATTTCCAATCCTTTGTGGGGATTTCCCTCAAATGTAACGCTGAGTCCTTGCTTTTTATTTGGTAAGACGGGATGGGGGATTGAGCCATGGAAATCCCTGTTTCATTTTTCATGTAGACTTTTGAAATATAGGATAACTTTGACAAATGTTATTAGAAAAAGTCTTACCATTATTATGTAGTCCAGGATGTTCTTTGAGTTCATTGTACATTTCGTGAACAAAAAATTATTTAAAAAAGATGATAAAAATAAGTGAAAAAAAATAATAAAGAGACTAGGACCTATGAAAATAAAGTTGAGTGATTTAAGCTTACTTACAGTTAGGCCAACCAAAGGTAAAAGGTTAGTAGCAGGACATGTAAAACTACCGATCAAATTGAAGTGACCGATTTCAATTTGGTTCAATCAGTTTGTTCAAGAG